GAAGAGTCTCAGAGACCCCCCAGGCTGCACCAGGCCTCCCCCAGACTCCACCAGCTGCGCCTCACACTGGACACCTGCAAACACAGAGACACAAGGTGGACTGAGAATCACATGGAAGCACCAACAGGCACAGGCACAGGTCTCAGCGCTCCCCACTCCTGAGAACGACCTTGAGAAATGATCAGGAGGAAAACGCAGCTTGGCACCAAGTCCATGGTGGAGCCTGCCCCTCACCCTTGCCACCTGCAAACACAGAGACACAAGGTGGACTGAGCATCACATGGAAGCACCAACAGGCACAGGCACAGGTCTCAGCACTCCTCACTCCTGTGAATGACCTTGAGAAATGATCAGGAGGAAAACACAGCTTGGCACCCAGTCCATGGTGGAGCCACTGGAATCCTGTCTCAGGTGCTTGGGTTCTGTGTGTCTCCCCAACATGCCGGGCAAGGGCCCCCTTTTATGAGCAGGAAGAGAGCCCCATTTGCATGGAGTCTGCATATAAGGTGCAGCTGGGACCCTGGCCTGCATGCCTGACCTTGTAATCTTAGGGGCGATCCCAGATGGGAAAGGACTCAAGGATGATGGCCACAAGGGGTCCCGTCCTGACCACCATCCCTCCCACCTTTCCTGAGACCCGCCACCCTCTCCCCATTCCTTTGGGGGAAGCTTCCAGGATTGAGAGTCCTCGTTCCTGGGGTTTTGATGAGGAGCCAGGGGTGGTCCCCCATAGGTGTGTGGATGGGGCTTCCTCTCGCTCTCCTTCACCCCCCCGTGGGCCATGTCACCTCTCTGGGTTTTGGGAATAAGAATTTGCATCGGATGATGCTTTTATTTTGAGACTGAAAGATTCTCCTTGCTGTTGTCCTCTGTCACATCTTTCACACACGAATAAGGAATCCGACAATGCATGGTCCCTGCTGCCTGTCACTCCTTGAGCAACATAAGCAGAGGGAGGGGTGAATTATACATAGGCATTCATTCCAGTACTGCAGCAATATGGGCGAGCAGCAGGTCATCCACAAAAACCTGCTCTGCAGCCCCCATAAACCAGCTGCTTATATTGATTGAAAGGACAGAAGATTGTGTGGGAAGTAGCCAAAGGGGCAGGCGACAGGCAGCAGAGGGCTGGAACCTTCAAGGGCTGGCGGGCTGGTTCCTGCAGGAAAGTTGTTCATGTCCAGGATGATTGGTAGCTCCAAATGGGGAGGAGGGCTGCACTTCCAGGTGAGCTCCCAGGTCCCAGTGCGGCTGCCAGCCAGGCTAGAAGGCGCCTTCTCCAATCAGAATAAACAATCACAGTGAACAGAGCAGGATGACTATGTCGTACAATTCTAGTTGGTTCCTCACATTCTATTCCTGCCCCTATAAAAACTCGAACCTCTACATATGACGAGGCAGGAGAGGCTGGGCTGGACACTGTGCCTGCAGCCTCCATCTCTAATCTGCTGTCCCTGCCACAAGCACACAGCTGCCTCCCCAAACCACAGATTTCACTCAACTTCCTGCTGTTCCTGTGCAAAAGCCCTGTTTCTCAGCCCCTCAAAGTGGGAGAATTTCCATCATTTACACATGGATCCCTGGCTGGTGGGTCTCAGTGTTTGGCACATCAGTGCCCACACCAAGGGGTGCGAAGTCTTTAGAATTAACTCATCCTGCCCAGGTAGCAGGTTTTTAATAGTTGTGTGAACTTCCCACTCCACAAGGAGAAAACACATGTATGAATGTATGTTGTAAATGAAGAAACAATATTTTAGTATAAGAAGTGTCCTAATGTGTAGAGAATATTTTATAAGATTTTTGGAGCCAAACTGATGAAAACTGTGGGGGAGCAAGACCTCAAATGCTCATGAGAATAACCATTTGCAGCTACATTTGTGCATTTAAAGTTAAGGAGGGAAGGTGAGGAGTGACATGGAGGTGGGAGAGAGCAAGGCAGGGACTGGATGCCAGCATAATTAACAGAATGTTCCCTCTCTCTCTCCTAATCTTTATTGTTGAAAGTATTACATAGTTACTGCTTTTATACACATTATCCTCTCCCTGCTGGCTCCCATTCCCTCCCCAGGCCCTCACTGCCCCATTGTCTGTGTACATGGGTTAAGCATATATGCAAACAAGTTCACTGGTTGATCTCTTCCCACCCACCCTCCCCACCCTCCACTCTGAGGTTCCATGGTCTGTTCATGCTTCTATGTCTCTGGGTCTACTTTTGTTCATCAGTTTATTTGGTCCATTAGCAAGGCAAACTGGTGCAGACATTATGGAAAAGAGTATAGAGTTTCCATCTAAAAAGTAAAAATGGAACTACCATTTGGTCCAGTGATCCCACTTCCCCACCATATACCAAGTCTGGGCAGGGCCATATGGTCCTCTCTCTCTCTCTCTCTCTCTCAAATCAATAAAAACATTTAAAAAATTCAATCATCCATAAGAAAATTTTACAGTTTCACAACATAAGCTAGATTGATTAGAAATTGCTAACATTTAATTACTTTGTCACTGTTTACATTGACTAAAATTATATTCAATGGTACCTGCATTTTTGTGAATTTTGAACTCCCCACAAGAAACCAAGTCCCGGTCTGGACATGTGATAGACCGCAGCCACCTTGCAGCCATCTCCCAAGGCCACCCTTTTTGGGGAGTGCCGGTCAACCCGAATTTTGGGGGGGAAAAAATTGGGAGTGAGCTGGTCCTCAGTGTCCTGGGAAAGGAGCACGTCTCCCGCCGTCCATCCCTGCTTCCCTGTCAGAGCCCGTGGCCCGAAGGCCCCAGGGTGGTTCAGGAAGAGGACCTGCAGCGGGTCTGCTGCGCCCTCAGCAGCGCTGGGCCTCTGGGCTCCTGGGGAGTGGACAGAAGTCAGTCCCAGATGCACGTTTTCCTCCTGACCCTTCTCTCAGAGGGAGCCTCCTCCATCTCATCACTGTGGTCAGACCTCAACTTCGCCTTCCCCAGCCTGTCCTCTGCATCCTCAGTTTCCC